GAGGGATATCTTATGAGATCCCTCCCAACCCACCAGAAAAGAGCCTGGTGGGAAATGTGGCTTCTTCTCACTCACTCACTCACTCAATTCCAGTATTCTTTGATCCAGAAACACCATGGATGAGACCAATGATCTGATTGCTTATCACCTGGCCACATCAGAGGGTGCCATTTGGATGATAAAGAAGCATGAAATTATCCTTGCTGGGTGCCATTAACAGAGTGGTGTCAGTCCAAGTTTATAGGAGATGTCAACAGAAGGCAGCAGTCCTAAAACTTTATCTCAAGGGTCAAGTCAGCCAGTATTACCTGGCAGGTTTTTAAAGTCCAAATTGCACTGTGCTGTTGATAACCTAATAGTTGTCTAGTCCTTGTTACCAGCACATGTAACAATTTGGCAAGTGTTGTGGACATGTGTTAAATTACAATTTGTTTTTATAAGAATTTTTTAAAATCAGGGCTTTGTTTTTGGAACATGGACCATACAGCTGTATTGTTTGAGAATTCAACTTTCTTCTTTACAGAGCAGCTCTGCGGAGGCCATCTTTACCGTAGACAAAAATAATTTGTTTCCAGTTCTTTTTACCTTGTTGACATTTTCTGTGTTACAAAGTCAGATGTAGGTACTTTAGTGTTATAAGGCTATTATTTTGCAAGGTAAAACTTGGAATTAGTTTAGACACATGTTTCGAACTCCCCATAGATTGACATACCATTTAGAGGAAGTTGTGATGGATTAAGTATTAGCTGGGTATATTTCTATAGTTCCCATCCATGGCGCTATTTACATTACTGCACACCACTGAATATATGTATTTAACTTTATTAGAAACACAGTTAAATATATAGCTGGGGAAAGGGATGGTTATTAATGATAATAATAATAATTACACAGAAAGCAAATACAAATGTTACATGCTGGGATCTTAGTCTCAAAACAGTAAGCTGGATGAAGGCGTTGTGTTCTTTACATGAAAATTCTTCAGCTGCAACTGTGGCCCAACCAGAATTAGACTTGGCAGCTAATCAGGAGCTGAGGTGCATCTTAGATGCCAAACCACCCACTTGTACAGGCAGTTTGACATTCTATAAAAGCTCTTGCTGTTACTCCAGTCGAGTGGATCAGTGTGCATGCCTTCTCACCCTTGGAAGACAGGGCCCCCATCTAGTTAGCTGTGCCTGCTCCCCTTCTCCCAACATTTCCCCCAGTCCTCTTGCCAATTGCATCATAGCAACAACTCCATAAACAATGTTTTTGTTTAAGAAAATATGAGCTACACATGCTAACCACAATTTTAACACAGAATTAGATGCATTTTAAAACGCATGGATTTCAGTGTTTGATTTCAGTGAGTTAAGGCACGTGTTCGTTATTTAATTTATTCAGCAAAATGTATATTCTGCTTGATTATCATTAAACCTCAGAGTGCTTTACAAAGTAAAATAAACCCTTAAAATTATCAATAAAAGACAAAACAGGAATTTCCCCCCCTTTAAACCCCCCCCCATTTACTAACTAGTTACATAATTAGCAATAAGCCAAAAACAGATCTAAACACTCGTAACTTCTACAGGTCCAAATTTGCTTGCTTAAAAAAATGTTTTAAGCAGAAAGAGTACAATGAAAAGGCCTATCTGATTTCAATAGGCAGGGAGTTCCACAGCGTAGGTGTTGCCACCCTAAAAGACTGATCTCTTACAACTGCAGAATGTGTTAGCATTATGTGGCACCTGCAGCAATGCAAGTTCTTTTTTAGAGCTAGGTAAAGGTAAAGGGACCCCTGACCATTTGGTCCAGTCGTGGCCAACTCTGGGGTTGTGGTGCTCATCTCGCTTTATTGGCCAAGGGAGCCGGCATACAGCTTCCCGGTCATACGGCCAGCATGACTAAGCTGCTTCTGGCGAACCAGAGCAGCGCACAGAAACACCGTTTACCTTCCTGCCGGAGTGGTACCTATTTATCTACTTGCACTTTGACGTGCTTTTGAACTGCTAGGTTGGCAGGAGCAGGGACCGAGCAACGGGAACTCACTCCATCGCGGGGATTCGAACCGCCGACCTTCTGATCGGCAAGTCCTAGGCTCTGTGGTTTAACCCACAGCGCCACCCGCGGCCCTTTTTAGAGCTAGTTCTTTATAAAAATGAACTTGTCAGGTTCTGGTGCAGCATGTACCCAATTGCTTTCAATATGTGCAGATCTCTTCCATGCATGCAGAGGACTGAGCTGGATTGAAGCTCCTTTCACTTTTTTATTTGGTAGTGTTTAAGGAAGCTACCATCTCAGCACCAATACCAATTGTATTAAAATAATCATCAGCTCTTCTATAGTGTGTGTTGCTCTAATCATTTGTGCTGGCATACAGTAACTGTCTGCAAAGGCATCACAAAGTCACTGCAATTCCAACATAATGGCGCATTTGACACATTGTGATACTGCAGCAGTTTTATCTTACTTATTCAGTGTAATGGTTTGGGAGTTTGATGCAATTCATGCAATGCACTTTGGTGCTGGTAGAGCAAGCTTTAGGATTTTATCAGCTTGCCAGTCTTACAGCCCTATTCCTAGCAATGAAGTGAATGGAAAGTGTAGTGATGCCTTTTTAAAGATTGTTCTTGGTTATTGAGGAATTAAAAAAAAAGGTAAAGGACCCCTGGACGGTTAAGTCCAGTCAAAGGCGACTATGGGGTTGTGGCGCTCATCTTGCTTTCAGGCAGATGGAGCCGGCGTTTGTCCATAGACAGCTTTCCGGGTTGTGTGGCCAGCATGACTAAACCGCATCTGGCACAACACAACACCATGACGTAAGCCAGAGAGCAATGATCAGCAATGATCATTGCAATAAGCAGCAGAAGTGTTTAAATTCAGCACGGGTTTAAGGAAAGGTAAAGCAGGCCAGAATCATCATCCGTGGTTAATGTGGTTATGTATTAAAGTTTTATATCCCTAAGTGCAACTTATTCACAGTTTAGTCCCTAGCAGGAAGGCAGTAATAAAAACAGTGCTTATTTGAAAAGGCTATTAATTTAACGGAGTTGCTAAAACAGAGCCTGCTGTACATGTTTGGGGGAAAGAACTCACACTGTTTCAGTTACAAAACAAAAGCATTGCACAGTTTAATTAATGCACTTTATTAATGAAATCCTACATGTTTCATAATTTGCACATATGCAGAAGCCACTTAGTTTTTGGTGAATAGTTCTGCAGCTTTAGCGTGAAACAAAGCAGCTACTTTATGTTCATGCTGCCAGAACTGTTCTTCTACACCCTTGGTGGTATTTCACTAAGACTTACTCAGAGTAGACTCGCTGAAGGCAATGGACATGAAGAAGTTAATTTCAGTGAGGCTACTCTTGAGTAAGAGTGAGTTGCATATCACCCATTTTTTAATCATTTCAGTTGTGGCTTTTGAAGTTCGAATAAGACATGCTTTGTGTCCTCAGCATCACATCAGCCTAGGAGTTAATCATGGGTACCAAAAGGGGTGGGGGCAAAGGGGCATAGACAAATGGTGCTGCCATGCATTATTACAGGACAGCCACAAAACTAATTCAGATTGGAATACCTGCCTCTTTTCACCGTTCTTTGCTTCCGCAATTAAAAGGTATACTAGGCACCAGTGGTTGCATGACTCATGAGGATGTTGGAAGCTGTGCAGCCAAGATGCGGTTTCACGGAGAAAGATGTTAGAAGTGCCTTAGAGGTTTTCTGACACAATTTTCAGTTTCTGAATCCTTTCCTCTAGCCACGTGAATATTTCACTCTGCTTGTGAAAGGTAGGGGGTGATTTGAAAATATGTAGGGAACACATGTTCTTTTCCAGTCAAAGGTCTAACACTCACCCTTTCCCCAATGGCTTTTTCACATTCTGAATTCACTTCCCTTGACTTATAAACTTCCAAATACTACTTTCATTTATATGGTATAATAACAACAACAGAAAAACCCTGTTAAAGAGGTTTTATGCAACAATTGACTTGAAAGTAGTCTTCTGTTCCCTTTCTTTATTATACTGTATTTAGATAACTCATCTAAATAAGTCTCATTGAAATCAGTGGCATGATTCCTAGGCTCTGATCCAACTAAAGTTAGTAGTATTGAAATTCCATTGAAATCAGTGAAGTTTGTCACATTGGTTTCAGTGGAACTTAAGCACAACTGGCTTTTCATCAGATCAGGGCCTTAGAATTATGCCATTGACCTCAGTGCAACTTCTACTGTGCAAATGCCCTGCAGCCTGTGGCCTAAGAAGATTTTGTGAAAGGCACTTTTAAAAAATGATTTATAATGTGCCTCAAAATATGAAACCATACTCCAGCTTATACACATTTGAACACTTTGTTGAAACACAAATCATGTAATTCAGGTTCAGTTTGTTTTTGTTTTTTGTTTTCTCTTTGCCACCCAAGGTCTGCAAGATGGTGAAATGATATTTAAGATGCAAATATAATTTGCTGCCGGTTTTTACATTTTGAATCCCCACCAACACTTGCTGCTTTCTCTCTGGAGTGCCTATGTGTAGCAAAGTCTGGCCAACATAGTTCATTTTCTAATGAAATAACCTTTACATAAACCATTTCCCACACCATATGTATGCAAACCAAAATGACTTACATTTATTCTATCATTCAGGGGTAGCCAACATGATACTGTCCAGAAGTCGTTGGACTCAAACTCTCATCAGGGATCATAGGAGTTTTAGTCCACCCTGTTGACTATTCCTGCAGTTAGACACCTGTGGGACCTGTCAAAGCCATTCTGAAGCCTCAGGCAGAACAGGATCTGCTACCACTACCTGCATTCTGCTGGTACCTGCTACTTTCTTTCGTCGCCTCAAGTCTCATGGTAAAGAGGGTGATCTTGTTCTACTTTCCTTCCCAATCTGCCTCAGTGTGGCTCATGGTATTCTGACTCACAGATCTGCATTCGAATTAAAGCCACAGATGACGCTCAGTAGTGGGTTGTGGTGCAGGACAGTGCTGCTTTCTTGACCTTCAGTCACCACCATCACTGTGGTGCACCAGGAGGATAAGGGGCAAGGCAGCAGCGAGGCTGGCATGGTGCAAACACACCAACTGGGGGGATCAGATTGGCTCCATTGGCATGTTTGCACTGCACCAACCTCACTGCCACCTCACCTCGCCTAGTACACCACCGTGATGGCAGTGATGGGAAGTTAGGTAAGCAGCACTGCTCCCACCAACCACTACTACTGTTCTTGTTGTTGCCATCTGTGTGAGACAAGGGAGTGCTCCTCCGGGGGTGAAGTCAAACCATTGCATTAGCAGCACCAAAGTGACCTTTCCAGGGTCCAAGCCTGGGCAGTGTGTATGGAAGTCCTTGGCTGCCCAGTTGACAAGACCCCTCCCTTGACCTTGCTAATATGGTTCAAAGGAAAGCAGAGCAATATTACTGATGACTGTGATTATAGCAATGGATAGAGGAAGGATTGGCGTTTATCTTCCTGTCTATCAGATTGAATCATAAACAAAAAGGCCTGTAATGAGCAGTTATTTGGAACTGACCGTGGTGCTATATGAATGCAGCTCTTAAGGTTCTGGTTATTGACCACCAAGTTCAAAGCCAGATGGCCATACAGTGTGGCTGGATGGTTACGTGGGAGCCGGTTGAAGTTAAATCCTTCGAAGACAGAGGTCCTCTGGCTGGGGCGGGACGATATGGGATTGAGGGGACAACTCCCATCTCTTGCGGGGGTGCAATTAGTGCCAGCACCGTCCGTTAAGAGTTTGGGTGTAATCTTCGATACCTCCCTCTCCATGGAGGCGCAGATTACAGCTATAACAAAGGCGGCATTTTTTCATCTCCACCAAGCTAAGCAGTTGGCTCCTTACCTCTCTCGCCCTAACCTAGCCACTGTGATCCACGTGACGGTTACCTCCAGACTGGATTATTGTAACTCGCTTTACGTGGGGCTGCCCTTGAGACTGACCCAGAAACTCCAGCAGGTGCAGAATGCCATGGCGAGACTCCTTACGGGGTCTTCACTGCGAGATCACATTCACCCGGTGCTATACCAGCTGCACTGGCTCCCGGTGGAGTACAGGATCAGATTTAAGGTGCTGGTTTTAACCTTTAAAGCCCTATACGGCCTAGGACCCTCGTACCTACGGGACCGCCTCTCCTGGTATGTCCGACAGAGGAACTTACGGTCTTCAAATAAAAACATCCTGAAGGTCCCAGGCCACAGAGAGGTTAGGCTGGCCTCAACTAGAGCCAGGGCTTTTTTGGCTGCGGCTCCAATCTGGTGGAATGCTCTGTCACAAGAGACTAGGGCCCTGCGGGACTTGACATCTTTCCACAGGGCCTGCAAGACAGAGCTGTTCCACCAGGCCTTTGGCCAGGGCGCAGCCTGACTCTCTCCTTTGGCAATCGTCACAGAACTTTAGCTTAATGGTTGCCACCAATTTGATTTTAATTAATTTTTATAATGAAATGTTTTTAGAATGTTGTACTATTTTATTGTTGTTAGCCGCCCTGAGCCCAGCTTCGGCTGGGGTGGGCGGGATATAAATAAAATTTATTATTATTATTATTATTATTATTATTATTATTAATCCAGTGAATGTTTTCAGGGAACAATGATATAGTGAGTTTATAAAATTTTGCTGAGCGTTCGGTAAAAATAGGAATTCCTCTATTATCTGCTTTCCACTAAGGGCTTCCATTGTCAAATGTTCAGTCTCTTGACCAGCACCTCCTCTCTTGTAAGAGAGGCTGAACACGAATTGTCAGAGTAATTGAGAGAAATAATGAACAGTATTGTTTTCATGAGAAACAGCCCATAGAATATTCTATGTAATTTGCAGTTCAAGTTTCATAACCAGGTTTATGTAGTTATGTAACTTTGCTGCATTCCGCTTCCTTTGTAATTTGCAGAGCGTTTTCCAGCACTCATGACCCCTCCAGTTTCTCTACTGAAACCTCAAGCCAAAAGCTTTGTGGTATATAATGGATTGCCGATGTCAAAACTGTGTCACCCTGAAGACACGTTAGTGGGTGAGAATGGTCCTCTCTGAATAGGCAACAGCTGTCATCTCTTTACTTGTGACGGCTGCATGTCATAAAACTCTCCTCTCCCCATTTATATTGGTGATTACAAATCGTTCCCAATGATAAGCTATTTGAGTCATTAGTGAAAGGCAGTTTTCTCTCTGAAAAAGAAAGTAAAACTATGTATTGTTCCCAGCAACTTTAGAATCTTCTATTTTTAGAATAATCACATCTTTTGTGGAGACGTGTTGTCATTTTTAGAAACGCTGCGCATCCAGCATGAAAAAGGCACAGTGAACCATGGTGAATATAAAGAGATGTAGGGGGTGGTAGGGGTGGCAGAGAGAGGGGGCTTCAGGTTGTTGGTTTCCTGTAATCTTGGTTCTCCTGCTCCATTAAGGAGAAGGAGAAGCCTGCAATCAATAGTTTGGCAAGTTATTTTGAATTCACATATGGAATTAAGTGTTCCCCATCTCTCTATATTGCCTATTCTCCTTTGCTAGCCTTTCGTCAGAACAACTCAGTCAGTCTGAGCCAGGATTCACCTAACCACGTAAAAACTCACAATACATTATCTAAGTAGGTTGAGCATTTGAAGGACTGCCTACATTGGTATGAAACTGGCCTGCTGCTAAATTTGATCAAATCAGTGGGAACTGGGAGTAGGATTTTTTAAATAGCACGCTTTTGCTTTCTATCCTGTGTGGAACAACATTTCGCCCATAACAGATCATCCTTTCCCCCACAGCTCCTCTTAAAAACGCTAAGACCCCATGAGCAATCTCCAAATGCTGATTTTCATGTTAGCTGGCCATTTGCATTAGTACTATTGTCCTCAACCCCAAATCCCTCTTCTTCCTTGATGCACACACAAGCCTTGATGTACATAGCTTTCCTTATTTACTTCAAGCGAATGAATAGTTCTGTGTATATGTCCTTTTGCACAACCACCTTGTGCTTTCCATTCAAGTGAGCAGAAGAGAAGGGCGTGTCGTATATACTTCATCACAGAGTCTGGCCCAGAATAATGGATTCATATTCTATTTACTAATAACCAAAACAGCAACATTCGCTCATTACATATTTTAGTTTTTACGTCTTTTGCCCCCATACGCTCAGCTCTTCATGAAGGACAGGCTAGAAATGCTTTAACACAATGTTGTTGTTGTTGTTGTTGTTGTTGTTGTTGTTGTTACACCCCTGTATAAATAAATGAATAATCCTAGAAGAGTTATGACTGGCTGGCTGATATCTTGAACAGGAGGACTACACATTGCCACATTTTGTTATAGCTCCTACTTCCGAATTGTGTTGTGTGAAGAACCTCCTAGAAAATGCCAGAGATCTTATAAAACATTTGCAGGAAAGCACAACCAAATTAAGCCAATCAAGACATAACTGAAGTGGGATTCTGTTTTTGACTTCACATAAGACTTAAATCAGGATTCGGAAAAGCAAAAATGTTTATATTTAGGAGCCATAGATTTTTATTTTGCTAGGTAAACGTAACATAGCATCTTAAAGATCATGGTCATTATGCTTGTAGTAATAATTTTCTAGCTGCTTTGTCTGCAGATCCAGGCAACATTAAACATAATTAAAGTGATGTATAAACACACTTCCTAGCTGCCATTATATCCCATTATGGTTCTGGAATTAGCTAGGAGCTAAAACTCAAATGGAGCCATAAATCAACTAAGCAGATGCCAGCAGCCTCTTCTTTAAATGTTAGTTTCCTCCTAACAGAAGTGACAAGTATGTGGGCTGCTGCATATTCACCATGACTCTGTTGCATCACTCACAAACAAAAGCCAAAACCTTTTAAAGACTAATAGTATTGCAATTATTTATTATATTATTATTATTCCACCTTTCCTCCAAGAAGCTTAGAGTACTGTGTATAGTTTCTAGATTACTGTATTTTTTGCTCTATAAGACTCACTTTTTCCTTTCTAAAAAGTACGGGGAAATGTGTGTGCGTCTTATGGAGCGAATACAGGCTGCACAGCTATCACAGAAGCCAGAACAGCAAGAGGGATTGCTGCTTTCACTGCGCAGCGATCCCTCTTGTTGTTCTGGCTTCTGAGATTCAGAATATATATTTTTTTGTTTTCCTCCTCCAAAAACTAGGTGCATCTTGTGGTCTGGTGCGTCTTATAGAGTGAAAAATACAGTATACACATTTAAGATTTTTTGGAAACTGGGTGGGCGGTAGTGGAATCACTTGTTTCCTCTTCAGTTATTTTGAGCACCTGACCTAAACTTTTTATTTGGGGTGGGGGCACATTATTTTTCTTTAAGGGTGATTACTTTTATTTATTTTTGTCTGATTGACTGGGATGCTACATGTGTGCTATTGGCTATGCCTGAATCCCCACAGGGTGAAAACCCATTGGTGGAGAGGGGCTTAATGTCCCTAGGTGAGAGAATGGGAGAGGTTGCATGTATCACCTCAGAGGAGAAAATTGGAGCAAATGAGTGTGTTTCTTTATGTGGTCTAAACCACTGAGCCTCTTGGGCTTGCCGATCAGAAGGCCGGCAGTTCGAATCCCCACGACGGGGTGAGCCCCCGTTGCTCGGTCCCAGCTCCTGCCCACCTAGCAGTTCAAAACCACGTCAAAGTACAAGTAGATAAATAGGTACCGCTCTGGCGGGAAGGTAAACGGCATTTCCATGTGCTGCTCTGGTTCACTAGAAGCGGTTTGGTCATGCTGGCCACATGACCCGGAAAAACTGTCTGCAGACAAATTGCCTGCTCCCTCAGCCTATAGAGCAAGATGAGTGCATAACCCCAGAGTCGTCCGTGACTGGACCTAATCATCAGGGGTACCTTTACCTTTACCTTTAGATGATTATTGGTTGATTATTGATAAAATATTCTGCTTTTTAATTGAAGTAAGAATTGCATAGATCAAATGTGTTGTGGTGGGTATAAGGAGAGTGTGGTAGTTGAGAGTGACTGTATATGTCTAAGACTGTCTAGAATGCTGCCAGTGGAGTTCTGAAAAGGTCTGGGTTTCTTGCTGGTAAAGGAGACCAGTGTATGAATGTTTTAAATGAATATTTTAACCTTAAAAAGTTTAGAAAATTCTCCACTACTGTGCTTTAGCAAAAAGCAACTCACAACTCCTCGGTGTTTATCGGGCAACATTTT